AAAAAAAAAAAAAGAGGGTATATCCAAACATAAAGAAAGCCATCCAAAAGCCACAGCCGCGTACAGATCTCAGAAAAAACTCCGATAACTTTTGTATAAATAGGAAATAGTAACGAAAGGAAAGGGTATTGAATATATGAATGAAAGGAACGTAAAATGGTCGGAATATGTTCGTGACTCAATGAAATATGAATGGCGATGGCGCCTTGTAAGCGCTTGAACGTTTTTGTAGCTTTTTCGACGGGTAATGCTGGCGCTCGATGCTCCAACTTCTGGTTCTGCCTCGAGGCACATCAGTCCCAAGATTCCCGACATCTCCTTCTGGAGTATCCTCTGCCTTTTCTGGTATGGAGAATGTCGGTAGGGAAGGAATTTCAATGCCCAATCTCTTCATTCGAGTTCCAGTAGGATACTTGCTGCTGATGGGCGAGCCTCGTTCCTTAGCCATGACTGAAAAGTTTTTCCTGGCAGACCTAGATCCAGAAGCTGATGTGTGAGCTCTGTTCCTATACGATCTATCATCGAAGCCCATTTCGAAACTGGGGCTTTTCTTGGAGTGGCGAGGGGCTCGGATGACATCAGGGCATTGGGTTCTATAGGGGGGGTTGGTAGCGCCCTCTATTCGGCGCTTTTGAGTAAATAACTTTTCCGTCGCAGGAAAGTCAAAGTTAGCTGACGGGGCTTGATGGAGAGATGTAGCACAGCTAGAACCCGGATAGGTCGCAAATGAGGCACTCCGTATACGCCCGTCAAGTTGCATCTGCTGCATGTCATGGCACATAGTAGACATGCCTGTAGGGTACTCAGGAGACTCAGGGAAAGCACTATAACGTATTCGTGGGTCAAAGTTTTGTCCGCGGAGGCTTAGGTGGCGTTGTAAGGCAAGCTTGTTGCTCAGCTCGAAAAAGGCTTGATTGTCGCACGCCCCAAGGTCTCTGGGGCGCTGTGATCCAGACCGGGTCTTTCGCAAAGAACGGATGGATGTCGCGGAGCTATAGCCGCTGTCCGCTTTACTGAGGGAGGGTAGAGGTCTTTTCTCAGAAATACCCTCCAAAGTAACCTGCTCCGGCTGATCACTGCCCATATTTTCCTCATCTTCCGACATGAATATGGCCTCATCACCCGTTTCCTCTGCGAATAACAATTGCTCCTCAGGGATTGCAATGGTAGGGGATTTCTCGAATGAAAAGGGACTTCCTGGTACGTCATCTTGTTTGCTGGGGTCAGAATCCAAGGCTGGAATGTGCAGCATAGACGTAGAGAGCCTGTTTCTTGTCATTCCAACAACTGCCTCTTCTGCCTCTTCTGCCTCGGTCAAAGCAGGTCTACAGCCCACCCTGAGTTCGGATGTCGTACTACGGGGTACGTCCACAGGGACCCGATCACTAGGGCAAGGGGAAACGGAGCCATTGACCACTCGTAGTGACCCTAATTTGAGAGCCCCCAAATGCGTATATTCAAGATCGCTTCCTGATGTTGAAGGCCGAGCACACTGGGCAAAGGGGGGTGAAGGTGTCAAGAGTTCTCCGTAATCAACTCTCTGCGCTATAATTGACGCTTCAGCCGGATACTTAGACGGGACCTTCATTTCATGGTCAACCGGAGAAGAAGCTCCTTGGGCTGTCTTTTGTGTAGATCGTCTGGTGGCGACTCCTGGTCGTGTTAAAAGGGAGCGTCGGCGAGTAAGGGAGAACCGTTGGTTATCCACCATGAAATGGGTGTTCGAAGACGAGGCCTCTTCCAGGGAACTTTCATAGATGGCACTATTGGTCCTGCGTGGAGACGAGTGGACCGAATAAGATCTCTTTGGCTGCCTCAGGCTTGGCCGGGACCGGAGAGAACCCTGTAAAGTTATCGGGCGAAAAGAAGCTTTCCTAGTCAAGGAAGTCTCATTCGAACTGGAACCAGGCGATGGGAAAAATTGATCGTCTTCCTCTTCAACAATGGAGTCGCTTCTGCTGTTCACGGTGCTGGAGAGCCGGCGTGGTTCGGACTGAAAAGTGACAGAGGGCAATGACTGAGCCCGCTGTGCATTGGACTCAAGGTCCGAGGGATCTATAGGGATCGATGTTTCGTTCCATGGATCACGCCATACAGCAGGACCAGGTAATACTGGGGAGACAGAATTTGATGCTGGACATGGCAAACTGGGACTGGTCGAACCCGAAGATGGTTTTGATTTACCAATGGGTGGCTTTGACAGACGGTTAGAGCGGCGACGCTCATCTCGACATTGGATCGAGGGGAAGCTTCCCATGACTTTAAGGCAATATAATAGATCAAAGGTCTTAGTCTCCAGAGCCAAATCGAACACGAAACACTGCCTGAAGGTAGAACAATCGGATGACTCGGGACACCGACCCTATTCAAACACGACTGAGAACTGGAAAAGCCCTTGACGATAAGAAGAATTCCAGATTGACGTTGCACAATCCGGTTTGAGGATTGTGTTAAAGGTCTGGAGTTGACCCGCAGAATGTGGAGATAACCAGATGCGTGTCTCAGAATAATTCCTTGAAGCTGGGGTAACTCGACAGGCCCAGAGAAAAGAAGAGAGAATTGGGGAGAGAGGTAGTTATGTAAATCAGAGGCAGCGTAAGGGATTCGTGAGCAGATGAAGGTATATAACGAAAATGGAACCAATATGAAACACCAACAACTAAGCACCAGCAAGTACATATAAAACTGAAACGAAACAAAACAGGTATAGGACGACGTAAGAAAAGAACAGGGGAAAAAGAAAAAAAAATTAACCAAAAAAAAAAAATAAATTAAATTAACCAGACCAAGAGGAAGGGAGGATGAGATACATAAGGATCCAAAAGAAGTGGAGAGAGGGCCATAGCAAGATGCAAGAAACATACAACCATGACGAATGCGTTTATCTATCCATTGAACCCTACCTTTGGGGAGAGAAGAAGAAGGAGAAGAAGAAGAAGAAGAAGAAGAAGGAAAAGAACACGACCGATCGACAGCTGCAGTCGGTCAGGTTGAGGAGACCAGCAATAATCCAACAAAGCTAACAAGGCCATAGTGCCATAGTCAAGGGAAGGGAGAGACTGAGAGGAGAGAAAAACTTCCGAGAACAACAGCACATCATCATGCTACCTTTTGGCCAGCAACACGAACCCGGCCAAAACCACATACCAACAGTCCACTGCTACGACTGCTACTACGTGCATTACCACAACTAGTGACTACTACTACCACTTACTACTTGCAACTAGTCTCCCATGCAGTCAGAAGCGCCCAAAGAGAGGCGGCCGTCATTGGCCCCAGCCGACAATCAAGCGGGACAGCCGCTGCTGGGGCCGCACCGCCACGGCTATACCGCAAGCAGCTTCAGCCACAGACGGGACGATCTTGCCATCCTGTTGGACAGACTATTGTTTTTGGGCGCATCCGGGGATTCCTCCTGGGCCAGAGCAGCCCTCCCAGGTGTGTACCATCATATATGTACAGTACTTACGGAGTTCATACAGGCGACGTACATATGTACTCTAGAGTTTCATGAGAACAGAGCATTTGGCATTGTTGTCCGCCCCCCCAAATTCGATCCGTCGAGATCGGACAACAAAACACGGGTTCCCCGTAACCCGGTTCGCGATAAACTAAATCTCACTTGGAAAATTTAAAAAAGAATAGAAGGGTAGGAAAAAGCAATGTCAATTGTCGGCTAGGCAAGAAGATCAACAGGCAGCTGACTGAATAGGTATCGTACCCCCTTGTTCCTGACACTTGATCGCTTCCGTTGATGGCTTTGACTGGATAATAATTATTCGTGTGATGGCTTAGCTTGATGGATGGAGCAGAGGCAGGCGACTTGGGTTCCGCACTATCCCGTTGTATCAGGCTTCTAGAGTGATTGAAAAGCAGATCATAAAGAGGGCAATCGGCTCATCTGCACGTTCTAAGCCGATGCCATCCTGCAAGACTGGGATTTCATGACAGATGTGGCGAAGAGACTGGCAGATCTGACGCCATATGATTATGATAGGCGCTATGCATTAATGAGAACCTCACAAGAACCCGTGATTTTCAAGGATTCCAGATAGGCGATCTAGGTGGGAAGAGAGTGTTCTCATTTCCCTCTTTCGAGGCCAACAATCGTCATGATACGTGAGGGCGAACACCCTTGCGCTGGGTTGACAGGTTGCCTTCGACTACAACAGGGTATTTACGACATAGTACAGTAAGTAATAGGCAGGCTGCAATTCCATGCCATTCTCCTATGAATCAAGACTCTCAGAGTCATTATAACTAGTAGTCACAAAGGACAATTGCCATGCCGTGGACAGTAGGTAATAAACAATATACATTCATGCCTCAGGCCAAAATCTCGCAAGATGCCAAGCATCTCGAGAACCGCCACATCCAGACAAATAGTAATCATGGTGGACAATATCATATTCTTCGCTAAAATCCGGTCCATGTCCGTGGGTACATACCTACATACAACATAACGTACCGTGACATACCCCTCATCTTTACCGCTTTAAAGGCTTTCCGCATCCGGCCAGCCTCCTACAAATATTCATCGCCCCTCAATTGCCCAGGTCCGAGGACGTCCTGGACGACAGCTCTGGGAAGTGACCAACTTGGGATCGGTGTACATGGTACATTGCTCTCGTACCGTGCACTGCACTGTGCATTCTGTACCCAGCACCTGGGATCCGCCGCAGCACGAGTGTTCCTGCAATCGGCCCATGTCGGTCAATGGTCCCCGTATACACCGCATCTTGACCCGTCGTATGGCTTCTTCTTCTTCTAGCCTGGGCACGTTGTCCGTCTTTCCCCTTCTCTCCACAGACGAATTCGAAAGCGCGTGTCGCGCCTTCCTTGATCGGGTTGACGTGTTGGGGATTCCAGATCGTCTGGGCTGGTCGTCCGTTCGAGTCGAACAACAGGTAGTTCTCGCCCTCTGAAATTACATGCTTTTAATTTTTAATTTTAATGTTTTTTTTTTTTTTTTTTTTTTTTTTTTATTTTTGAGGTTTTATCTAGTTATGAGATCGACTACTAA